GTATACAGATAATATATTTTTATGAGTTAAAAATTATTGATTTGATACATTTAACAAATTGCATACAGACAAATCTCTGAGAGAATCAGTAAATAAAATGATTATTTTTGTCAGTTTCAAGCTTTTTCTGTTACCTTTGTGGGTTTTTCTGTCTTTTTAAAAGAGTAAAGAAAAATAATATCCAAATGCATTTTCTTGTTTTTAAAACATTTTCTCAAATATTTTCCCAGACTGCTGCATTTCAACTTATTCAAAATAAATTTGGGGCCTAAAYTGTTGGAATATATCACTTGAGATGTAACAGGAAAACTGAATGTAGTTTAGATAAAAAAAAACACATCTTGGGTCGACCCATTCAGTTATAATAAACACAACTTTATATTTATCCATACACACTGTCACAGTTTTAGGTCTGGGTTTGTATAAAACACTGACATAAATGTTTTTGGAAAAATAAATGAAAAAAAAAAACTGTTTTCTGTACAATATTGATAAAAAAGAATACTTTGCTGCCATCTAGAGGTTATGAGATAAATAAGACATGCTGATCTCATTAATGATGCACTAATTAAAGTGTATCCCCCCCCCCGGTGAAAAATAACTCCGCCCCAAGGTGAAATTTGAAAAATGCATCAAAGTGGGTAGGGGAGACGGGGGCTAGAGAGCGGAGGTGTGGCAAGGACGAGAGAACATGACAGGCGGCTAGCATTAGCATAATTGATGCTACATGGAGAGTGACCACAGTATTGCAGATAGTTACATCTCTGAACGGTCTGAGGTGGAGCATTTTCACCCCACACCAGCACCGGACAGAGGAGGAGGAGCGCTCCGACAGCCTGACAGAAAAAAATAAAAGCATACAGCTGCAGCTGCTCACAAGATCACTAGTTTAGATCAGGAATAAAGTTGTTGGGTCTTGTATGACTGAAGTTCGGTCCGGTTCAACCTCTTTGGACGTTTACCTGTATAAAGAGCCTTAAAAATCCATCCATTTTGCAAAAAATCCTTACAACTTGCACCGGGGGGGGG